CCCTTGAGCGACAGATGGAACACCGAGATAGCAACCAAGTGGACCTTAATAGATGAAAGGGATGGGCTTTGGAGTTTGAGATGCAGAAAGTAGCCCAGGATTAACTGCAGTGAGACCTGCTCGGGCCAAATGCCTTTACCCGAGCTCCAACAAGCGAACCACTTCCATTTGGCCAGGTAGGTCGCTCTGGTGAAAGGCTTTCTACTGCCCAAGAGGACCTGTTGGACACCAGATGAGCACTCCTGCTCCTCTGCATTTAACCATACAGAAGCCAAGTCGTCAAATGCAGTGCCACCAGGTTCAGATGCAGAAGACTGCCATAATTTGGGACACTAGGACCAGCCTGAGCAGTACTGTAACGGAGCAGCCACCAAGAGGTCAAGAAGCATGCCGAACCAGGGCTGGTGCAGCCAGGCCGGCGCTATGATGATCACCTTCACCATGTCCTGCTTGATCTTCATGAGGACCTTGTGAATTAACGACACTGTGCCGGGAAGGGGGATGGGGGGAGAGGGAGGGGAAAGGCATACAACAGAGCCCCCAACCATGGAAGTAGAAGAGCGTCCAACAGGGAGCCTCTGTCAATCCCCCAAATTTAGCAGAAAATGGGGCATGTCCTGTTCTGCCTAGACATGAACAGGTCTACCTGGGGAGTCCCCCACCTCTGGAAGATGATGCTGACCACTTCCGGATGGCAGAACCACTTGTGGCAAGATGAGAGAGCCCCGCTGAGGCGATTTGCCAAAGTCTTCCTAGCTCTGGGGAGATGTGTGGCTATGAGATGGATGTCATGTTGTACACAGAAGTCCCAGAGCCTGAGAGCTTCTTGGCAAAGAGCAGATGATCTGGCTCTGCCTTACTTGTTGATACAGAGCATAGTTGTTTTGTTGTCCCTCAGGTCCTGGACCAGCCTGCTTTTTATGAGAGGTAGGAAGGCTTGGCAGGCCAGGCGAACTGCTCTGAGCTCCCTGACAACGTGTAGGGAGCAATCATAACTCGACCAATGGCCTTGCGTGCTGAGATCGCTCCTGTGGGCTCCCCACCCCAGGTCCAAAGCATCAAAGATGAGGGTCACCGACGGTGATGGAGCCGCAAAGGTAACCCCCTCCAACATCAATGCTGGATTCTGCCACCAGGTGAGTGACAATAGTACATGGTCTGGGACCCTGACCACCCAGTCCATGCTGTGTCTGTTGGGGATGTAGACTGACGCCAGCAAGGGCCTCAGACAGAGTCATGCATGTCGGACCACATAAATGCAGGCCGCCATGTGGCCCAACAATCACAGGCATGTGTGAGCGGTGGTGAGGGGGTGGGCTTGAATGCACAAGATGAGGTCCGCCATGGCTTGGAACCAAGCCTGAGGGAGGAAGGCTTTGGCCTGAGTAGAGTCGAGGACTGCTCCAATAAACTCTATGCATTGCACTGGACTTAAGGTCAACTTTTTCTTGTTTATTAACAGCCCCGGGTCACAACAAGTGGAACAAACCAGATCGAGATGCTGCTGCACCTGATCCCAGGACTGACCCTTTATTAGCCAGTAATTGGGGTACGGGTAAATTTGAACACCCCGGTGCCTCAGGTAAGCGGCCACTGGTGCTATGCACTTCGTGAACACTCTCAGAACTGACGAGAGTCTGAATGGCAATGCCATGAATTGGAAATGGCGCTGGCCCAGCGTAAAATGAAGGAAGCGCCTGTGCCCTGGGAAAATGGAAATGTGGAAATACGCACAAGTCGAGGGCGGTGTACCAGTCTCCCCAGTTCAGGGAGAGGATGATGGAGACCAGGGAGACCATGCGAAACTTCAACTTTGAGAGACCTTGTTGAGACAACACAGGTCCAAGATGGGTCTGAGGCCCCTTTTGCTTTTGGGATCAGGAAGTAATGGGAGTAGAACCCCTTTCCTTTCATGTCTCGAGGGAGCTCCTCCACTGCCCCCAAGCACAGGAGGTTCTCGACCTTTTGGATGAGGAGCTGCTTGTGAGACAAGTCCCTGAAGGAGAATGGGGAAGGGGGGGGGTGGAAGGAATGGTTGACCACGAACTGCAGAGTGTAACATGATGATTTTACTTTGAACACCAAACGGTCCGAGGTCAGCTGAGACCAGACTGACTGGAAAGGATGGAGGTGGTTGAGGAAAGAGTGGGAGGGTGGATCCTGGGAAGTGATTGGGGTGTCACCCTCGAGCGCACCCTCAAAATGATTGCTTTTGGCCTCCTTGGCTTCTGGAAGGCCCAGGATGAGCAGATGAATGGAAAGACGACGGGTGTCGCCACTTAGACCCCTGGTCTCTATTCTTTCTCCTGTAGGTGCCCACCCGGGGAGTCCCCCGAGACCTGGACTGGGGAAGTGGAGGAGGTGAGGGCATAACAGTTTCCTGGCCTGCAGAGGAGTATGGCTGCCCAAGTAGCAGAGGGTGGCACAGGAGTCTTTAAGGCCATGGAGTCTCAAGTCCATGAGCTCGGAGACGAGCCCCATTCCCTCAAAATGGGAGGTCCTGTAGAGTGGCCTGCATCTCCTGGGGTAACCCGGAGGACTGCAAGCAGGAGCTGCGCCTCATGGCCACTGCAGAGGCAACCACCCTGGCTGCTGAGTCAGTAGCATCCCAGGCCATCTGAAGGACCCCCCTTGCCACTGCTGTGTCTTCGTCCACCAAAGCAGCGAACCCCTAGGCTTGGTCCTGCAGGAGAGCCTCCTTGAATTTATTAAGGGAGTCCCACAGGTTAAAACTGTACCTGCCTAACAGGGCCTGGTGGTGAGATACCCGAAAAATCACAGTTATGCCATTGAATAAATCTTTCTGCCAAATAAGTCCAGTCTCCAGGCATCTTTGTTTTTCAGTGTGCCACTGACTTGGCCCTGCCTGTCCCTTTCATTAACAGCGAACATGACCAGTGACACTGCTGAAGGGTGTGTATACAGGTATTTGAACCCTTTTGCAGGGACATAATACTTATTTTCCACCTTCTTAGAAGTCGGCGGAATGGAAGAGGGGGTCTGCCACAGCAATTTGGCAATCTTAAGGACCCCTGGGTGGACAGGCAGTGCAATCTGGGCCTTGTTGTTGGAGGAGGATATGTTAAAGAAGTCAGACTCCTCTGCGACCTCTTCTATTTTTAAGTTCAAGTTGGTAGCCACCCTCTTAAGAAGGGCCTGGTGCTCCTTGAAGTCATTTGGAGGAGTAGGGGAAAGGGAGGGTTGCCTGTTTGGGAGGGACCCGCCACCACTTCGTCCGGACACAACAAGGACAAGTGCACTGATGGGGAAGGGACGGCTCCTTAGGTGCTGGAGTCCGATGCGCTGCACCGGTGTTGGAATTGGCACCGTGCCCCAAGGGGCAGTTTGTCCGAGGCTGCCAGGGAGGACTGGTGGGAATACGGGATTGACGTTATGAGCACACCCCATGGGTTCCAGTACGGCCATTGAGCAGGCCACTGTCCCTGCTGCCATGCCGTCGTGGCAGGTGCCGTGCTGGCTTTGCGGGTCGGCAGCGAATCACCCCTCCTTGCCGAGGGGCTGAACTTCCAGTCCGAGTCAGACCATTGCCCTTCCAGTGACCAGGGCAGAGCCATTGATGCATGAGTCTGCCGGCTGACCCTGGGTCAGCGACCGACGAGGCGAGGATCGGTGCCTGCCCAGTGAGCAGAACCGGGGGGATGGAGATTGGTGCCATGACTGAGAGCAATCCTGTCCCCGTGGGAACGCATGTCTGAAAGACCGTCTGGGCAAGGGTGATTTGCGCCGTGGCGATCTTTGATGAGAAGCTCGCTGGTACCGGTGGTACAGGGACCAGTGCCTTAACCTCAGTGTCCCATGTCTCTTAGTGGGAGAACATGGCGTCAGGGACTTGGGCCTCTTGACCGGAGACCAGGAATGCGGTGCCAGGGTCCTAGGCTGCGGAGACTGGGATCTACATCTGCGATCCAGGGACCCTATGGGGCAGTCCCATAATCAGCTTGCCCTTAGGCATTGGGGCCTTCACCGGTCGGCCTTCTTGTTCTTTAGCACTTCAGACAATGGTCATGGGGGTCACTAATAGGCATCAGCCTGTTGTATGACGAGATTGAATCTGAGAGAACGGGGTGTGCCTCACTCTGGGGCCAAGTCCCAGCCTGGACTAACTACCAAACTAACCTAACTCTTAACTTAAAAGCTAACTAAGTACCTAAACTATATACAAAAATGACAGACTATGGGCTGTTGAAGAACCGCTAATGCTCTTGCGATTGCAAGACAAGGCACTCCAACCAACCGTCATGGGCAGTAAGAAGGAACTGAGAGGGCATAGGGTTGGCGGTGCCTATATACCAACACATGGACGCAGCACTCAAGGGGGTGCCACAGCCGACCCTACGGATACTGCTAAGGCAAAAATCTCAGACGACTGTGCATGTTGGTACACATACACCTAAAATGCAATCGACATGAGCAAGCACTCGAAAAAGAATAGGGTATTTTGACTGAATAAGGACTGTAGGAATTTATCCCATATTAACTTTGCTTACAATGTTTACTATTGTTGATGTGAGTCATGACATACTTTGGGGCCTTTATAATTTGAATTGCCTTCATAATCAGTATTGGGTTCCATTATGCTAGGTGCTGGACACACACACACACACACACGTTTCATCCTTCAAAGATTTTACAATCAAAGTCACTATACTGTACTTTCACATTTCTCTTTTTATTCCATTTTGGCCCAATGAAGGAAGAACAATTGTGGAAATACTGCACATTTTCTTTGTTAGTCCAATAGAATAAATTACAATCTTTGTTTGTTTTTGTTCCATTATCTTCTAGATTAACACAGTTACTACTTCTATTGTTTGCATTTTGGATGGAAAATAATCCTGCTAATGTTAAACACGTTTCTGAAAGCAGTCACAGTTCTATCAAACCCAACCCCACCCCTCCCAACACACACACCACTTTGACTAATGAAGAGCTGTGAACGCTATTTTTACTCCTGTCGCATGTAAATGGGTGTACCCTACCTTTCCACAGCATTTTGCCTTGTCTATAATCTTCAGTGCAAACTCCTTTCCAGTGGCTCTAAGAAAAAAAATTGGAGAAACATTAATTAATGTCAGAAATTCCAGCCCAATTTTTGGTTATCAGTAAGAATACATGTAATCGTAATATAATCTTTTCACCCAGGGGAACAGCCGACAGAAAGATGGCAGAAATGATTTCATTTGGTTTCCCTTCTCTCCAAGTAACAGTCCTGCCTGCTGTTTCCCTGACTACCATTACCTTGCTTATTGTGTGCATTAATCCCAGGACCATAGCAGTGACCCTAATGTGACCTAATATTATACTCTGCCACTACTCTACTTCCATATGCAAAATTTGCCCCCAAATCCTTCATGTAGCTCTGTTCAACTGGCAGCCTGTAACCACACTTTGAAGACAGATCAGACTGCAGGTTTGCTTATCAGCTCATGTATAGGATGAGCAGCAAGAAAGCAGCCAGGAATATTGATGGCCTTTTTGGAAAAAGTCCCATAGAAGTTAGTAGGGAAGAAAACTATAGGGTTCTATAGCAATTACTACACAAGAGACATCAGTGGCTATGAAATTCTATAGGATTTTAGAACTACCTGACAGAATTCTACAGGATGGTTCTGCAAAACCTAGAGTAACTGAGAGGATCATTTTCTAGTATATGTGAGAGGACTTTTCCTCCCATAAGGTAGGAGCTTTCTCTAGCTTTTACACTTGGTCACCCACATCCAGATCTAAACATGTTCTCCACAGGAAATAGAAAAAAGCAACAAGAACTGTTTTGGTGTCTATAAAGAAAACATTACTTCCCATTGTTGCAAATGACCTTCAGTTAACATGTTAAAAATAGCAAGGGAAATGCAATGAGCTCATTCCTATTATTATTATTATTATTTGTATTGCAATTGCACCTGGAAGCCCCAGGCAAGATCCGACCCAATGTAAGGGATGCTATACAAATTCTGCTTTGTAACAAGCTTTTGTAGCTCAATAAGAAATACCAGGTATGTTTTATTAAGTTCATACTTAACTATAGCCAACAAAAAAAAATTGTTTCAGATATAGCTAATAAAGACTAATATCTCACAAAAGGAATTACATTTCATACATTAAACCTGTTCCCGACTAAACACAGCAGTATATTAAGAGCACCTTTGAGTGCAACTTTGTCTGCTAGGTTGTCATAGTTACAACCTGATTCAGTGTAGTACATAAGAAGAAATTCCATCTGAACAGCATTTGAGATTTAAATACTATCTTCTTATATTCACTATACAGCCATGAAAAACTGCATTATGGGCACTGCATGTAATTCAGAATTGCAATCTATGTATGATGATACATTAAGTAAATTATCCAAAAGCCTGATGATAAACACACTGCAAAATCCAGTTAAGATATGTGCAAAATTTTCAGTTTGTGTCATATAACAGGGAGTAGATCCTTGTAAACATCCACAAAGCTAGCTCATTATCCTTCTTCAAATCCCGCCTTAAAATTCTCCTCTGTCATGATACCTGTAATAACCTTGACAACGGCTAGCCCACTGGTGTGCTCATACCACTGCTTATCATGCTGACCATATTGTTTCCTTGCAGTGCATGCTCTGTATCCATCTGTTATCTGAGACTGTAAGTTCTTTGGGGGCAAGGACTGTTTTGTTTTGTCTGTACAGCACCTCTTACAGTGGGGTCCTGGTCCATGACTAAGGCTTCTAGGTGCTATGTAGTACAAATAATAAAATAGCAAACAGATGAGTGTTTATAACAAGCATTTCCTTTCCCACTAGTATTATAGATTGGATATTTTTGAACAGCAGATGATTTCAATGATATTTCTGATTACTAGACTGAAGACACTAGATGTGAAAATGGAGTTTTATACAAAAAAAGTGGGTTTTTTTTTTAAACAGTTTATTTCTAGCTACTATCTCCTTTATAACTAGAGGGCTCTTTCTTTTATCTAAACCTTGCTTTCTAAAGAATTCAGGTAAAATTATCAAAGTGTCTACGTCACTTAGGAGCTTATGTCCCATTTTCAAAAGCACCTAAGTCACTTAGGAGCCCAAGTCCAAGTGACTTGCACCAGGATGTAGGTGATTCTGAAAATGGAATTTAGACACTTGCAAAAAATATTATCAGGCATCTTTATCCTGAGATCTCAAAACATTTTTCAAGTACTGTTGAATCTATGTGCAGCCACTGAAATGTCACATTCAGGGTACATCAAGTACAGCAATTTTGTGCCTTCACACCATAAAACAGTGTCCAGTTATTATGACCTAAGCCTTTCATGGGTAGTTTCCTGCCAAGTGAGCTGGATGGAAATCTAGTCATTAGAAGACTGGCTATGTCATTTTATAAATTTTAAAAGTTCTTTGGATTGTGTGTTTGCCTCAAGCTTTCTAAGCAGCACCACACAGATTTCCCCATTGAGCTAGAAAAGCTTATTAAAAACCTAGGCTTTTGGAAAAATTGTTCTTCGAGTGTTCAAGAATTGAGATGTTAATGTTGAGAGATAGCATTAAGCCTAAACCCTAATGTGCTTCAATGTGTGACAAAAAGCTCCTTTAAAGTATACACTATACACACTGGGGTCAAATTTAGCTATCTGGCTTGGTTTAGGAAGTAATTCCATCAGAAGTCCTCTAATTCTTATTCTTTAACGCATAAGCCTGGATATTTGTACGACAGATTTCCCTGATGAGTAAAAACAGAAGACAAAAAGTTAGTTACTTAATACTATGCATTAAAACTAAGCATGAAATTGTCATTCAGGGGAATCACCCCATCACATGACAGAGAAGAAATCCACAGTGGCAAAAGTGTGCTTTTGCTCTGACTTTTTGCTTCATTTGTTATTAGTCTCTGCCAGTTTTTGGTTTTATTTTTGTTGCCTGAGGGGTTTTTGCATTTGTAGAGAAAGTTTTGAGCAGAGAAAAGCCTTGAGACTCCAAATGGATTTACATTTAAAAGCTTTTTGGAAAGTGGAGAAAGCTAACTGGGAAGAGTGTGGAGGATTTGCAAGTAGTCACTGCCTATTTTGGGGGCTAGATCAGGTTGAAAAGGTCCTAAGGGTTTTGGAGTACTAGCTGCCAGTACTTGTTTGGTTAATGGAGAGGAATTAACAGGATATAGCAACAAGAAACAAGACTCCTGGGAAACCATAATAGTGGCAGCAGAGTTATGAGTCATTTTTTAAGATCAACACACTTGAATCCACGAAGAGGAGAATGCAGGTAATAGTTCAGCAGTGGTAGCCATCATGTTCTGACATTTTCCTACATGAGTCAGACTCAGACTTAGCCAGCAGAAGTATCTTCGAAAGCTCTCTCATTAGCTGATAAGACTACGAAGAGACATTTCACTTCATAATGAAGACTCAGTTGCTCCATGAGTGTCTGAATATAAAGCCTTCCATGAATTCTTAAAAAGAAACCTGCAAATAGTGGTTAAACAATGAAAATTGTTTCTGTGAGCCCCAAGGCTCTCACAGGCATTTGCTGGAACAAAAATCATTGCTATGAACAAAGCTGGAGACTTCAAAATAATACTAATCAAAGAAACCCACATAATTGTTTTATCAGTGGCCAGTGTCAGATGGTTCTAAGAAATATCGTTAGCAATTGAAAGAGTGTCCCCTCCACTAGCAATCGTGCATGGATGGATACACACACACTTTTTACACGTGACAAACTTGCTAAATAGTTCTTGCTTACCTAATTTCTTCTAATGTTTTGAATGATATTCTCTCTCATGTTCATAAACTAAAGCTTAGAAATTTTCTTCTAATACATTATATATAGCAAACATCTTTATGTGATTAGTAGACAGACTATTACAGTATATGGATAACTAACAATCTCAGGGCTATATCAGTTTTTTTTTTTAATTTGAATTGTTTTCACTCTCCATTTTCTCTCTCCACAAACTTTCTTTGCTGTAGACATTATAAAAGACAGTTACTTTTTTCCGTAACTGTGTTCTTCGAGATGGGTTGCTCATGTCCATTCAACTTAGGTGTGCGTGCTCAACACATGCACTGGTGCCAGAAGTTTTTCCCTCAGCAGTATCCATAAGGGACCAGTTCTGGCACCCCCTGGAGTGGCACGCGTATGCTGCAACATATAGGGCACTGCCGGCCCCTTCCACCCAGAAACTCTGACAGTGGGGAAAGGAGGGCGGGTTGTGGAATGGACATGAGCAACACATCTTGAAGAACACCAGTTACAGAAAAAGGTAATGGCCTTTTCTTCAAGTGATTGCTCATGTCCATTCAACTTAGGTGGCTCCCAGCAGTACTCCTGGAGGTGGGTAAGGAGTTCACAGACATGTAAATTGCAATACAGCTCTGCCAAACCTAGCATTGTCCCTGGCCTGTTGCGTGAAGGCATACTAGGCTGTGAACGTGCATACTGAGGACCACGTCGTGGCTTTACACTGCACTGAAGAATACAAAGGGGAGATGCCCTGTGCGGCCACCCAGCAGGTATACCTCGTCCACTTTGCCGAAGTAGGTCTGCCTAGTCGAGGGCTTTCTACTCTGGACCCCTTCCGAATAGGCCCATTCATCTGGGTTCAGCCACACAACATCCATGCTGTGAGGTGGAGGGACGCAAGTTTGAGGTGCAAGAGTCAGCCGTGATCCTGTGACAGCAGGTCTGGTCGGTTCAGCAGGGGCCAGGGAGGGATTGCAGACAAGCTTGATAGTGTCCCGAACCAACACTGGCGAGGCCACGCCGGGCTGAGCACGATAACCTGAGCCTTGTCTCTCTTGATTTTCGCTAGGACTTTGCTGATGAGCAGAATTGGAGGGAATACATACATCAGGCTTCCTGCCCATGGCAGGAGGAAGGCGTCAGAGAGGGAGCCCTTGCCCAGACCCCGTCTGAAGCAAAACCTGTGGCACCTCCTGGTTCTGCCTGGTGGCGAATAAATCCACTTGGGGAGTTCCTCACCTCAGGAAGATCATGCCGGCTACCTCTGGGTGGAGCACCCACTCATGGTGAGAGGAGAAGTCCCTGCTTAGCTGATCTGCTAGCGTGTTCCTGGCACCCGGAGGGTGACACGCTTCTAGATGGATTCCATGGTTGATGCAGGAGTCCCAGAGACGAGTGCCTCCTGGCAAAGGGCCGAGGATCATGCTCTGCCTTGTCTGTTGATGTAGAACTTCGAGGCTGTGCTGTCCGTGAGGACTCTGACCACTCTGCCCGACAGGTGAGGTAGGAAGCCCACACATGCTCTGCACACCGCCCTGAGCTCTTTGATGTTTATGTGTAGCATCGACTCCTCTGGGGGCCACATACGTTGGGTCTGGAGGGCGTTGAGGTGCGTTGAGGTGCGTCCCCCATCTGAGGTCCGAGGCATTCGAAACCAACTCAACTGAGTGAGGAGTGCTGACAAAGGGAACTCTTTCCAGGACTTTCCCAAGGTCGGTCCACCATGGCAGCAAGATAAGTACCGTCACGGGGATGGTGATAACCTTTTCCAGGTGGTCCCTGGACTGGGAGTAGACAGTCGCTAGCCATTGCTACAGGGGTCACATTCTGAGTCTGGCGTGGCGCATCACATACGTACACGCTACTGTGTGACCTAGTATGCGTAGGCAAACCCTGGCCATGGTCAGGGGAAACGCGGGGACTTCCACAATGAGGTCTGTTAGTGCCCTGCACCTCTCCAGCAGCAGGAACGCCCTGACGCAGGTTGAGTCGAGCACCGCTCTGATGAACTCTATCCTCTGTACTGGAACGAACGTGGATTTTTTTGTCATTAGGTGTCGGCACGTGCCTAGCAGCACTGCGATGTCCCCTTGGACCTGGAGTTGCCCTTGACGAGCCAGTCGTTGAGGTACAGATAGATCCTGGATACCCCGACATCTGAGGTAAGCCACCATCACAGACATGCACTTGGCCAAATGGGAGGACTGTGAACTGATAGTGGTCAGGACCTACTGTTAACCAGAGGAAGCGTCTGTGTCCCTCGAAGATGGTGATGTGGAAGTATGCATCTTTCAGATCAAGGGCAGCATACCAGTCTCCCGGATCTAAGGAGGGGATGATGGAAGCCAGGGATACCATGCGGAACTTCAGTTTCGCTAAGTAGCGGTTCAAGCTCCGCAGGTCTAGTATGGGCCGCAGACATCCCTTGGCTTTGAGGATTAAAGAAGTATTGAGAATAGAACCCCTTGTTCCCACAGTGGCAAATAAGCACCCTGACTTTCACAATAAGCCGATCCGGCTAATTCCTTTCAAAACAAGGCCAAAAGCAGCCAATCCCCAAGAACCCCAAAACTCTATGTGACTAGATCCTCTCACAGCATGCAGTCTGGGACTGCGGTAGTTCTGCTGTGCACAGTGACTGTCTCCCCCACCCTTGCCTCTGCTTGCCTGGAGCCGATTACAAAAAAGGCAAAAACTAGCCAACAAGCAACCCACAAGCCAATTATGTCAAAAACAAACCTAATTTCTGCAGTTTTTCCACAGATTTGGCATATCTGCTTGTTCTTGTACTCCACAGGAACTACCTCCACCGTGCCCAGCTGTAGTTGACCCTCTACCTTCTGTATGAGAAGAGTCTCATGGGAGGGGTGCCTGAAGAGGAATGGGGAGGGAGGGTGGGTAGAAAGTAACTGAAGACAGTAACCCTGCGCCACCGTATTGAGGACCCATCGGTCTGATGTTATAGAGGAAGGAAGAAAGGTGGTTGGCAAACAGAGGGGAGGAAGGATCTGGGGAACAGTCCGGTAGGTCGCCCTCTGGCATACCCTCAAAACAAGCGCTAGCCTGTCTGCTTACAGCGTGTTGAGCCCGTCTGAGATGTAGATGGGGGTTGGTGGCCAGGGTGCTTCTTGTAGCCCCTGGATCTTTTGTGGGGAGGCTCCTGGCGAGGGTGGTTCCCCTAGCTCTGAGGCTGCTGCAGCTTAAACTGCTTACAGGCAGGGCCGGAGGGACGTACAGGCCCAGTGTTTTCAGGCTTGTGAGGGAATCTTTCAGACCACGAAGCTTAATGTCCATCTGTTCTGCGAACAGGGCGTGCCCATCGAAAGGGAGGTCTTACATTGACTGCTGAGCCTCTGAGGAAAGACCAGAGAGGAGCAGCCACCTACGCAACAAGATGGCCGATGCCCTGGTACAGGCAGCGGTGTGCGCCGTGTCCAGTGCCACCTGGAGAGCTGCTCTGGCTGCAGTTGAGCCCTCATCCAGGATCGCTTGGAACGCCTTCCTACAAGCCTCAGGAAGGGCGCTCTTGAGCTTGGTTATGGCATGTCACATATTAAAATCATAGAGGCCTAGTAAGGCCTGATGGTTGGCCACCCGCAACTATAGACTGGAGGACGAATAAACTTTACGCCCAAACAAGTCCAGTCTCCTTGAGTCTTTATTCTTAGGGGTAGCCCCCGTCTGACCCTGTCTCTCCCTATGGTTGACCACCTCTACCACTAGGGAATTGGGAGCTGGGTGGGTATACTCGTGGCAGAGAACATTAAGGAGGGAATCTGTGAGTTCCTCTAACTCCTCCACCTGGAGGCCCAAGTTGGCAGCAACCCTCTTTAACAGCTCCTGATGCGCTTTAGGATCATCCTGGGGCACTGGTGGAGGGAGCCCCACTATGGCCTTGTCTGGTGATGAGGAGGAGGAAGCTGGTTCCAAGGGGTCCTCCACAACCATAGGCGGTCCAGCGGCTTGCTTGCCTACTTCCTCCTGTGCCTGCGGGGTGCCTGCAGTCGAGGCCTCTTGGGCTGGAGTGGGGGAGGTAGCTAGTCTCTCTGAAGCTCTGGACACTGAGCAGGTGGCCTGAGGGGGCTGAGTGAACCCCCATGGGTTCTATGGGTACCACTGTGCTGGCCACAGAGTCTGAGGCCACAGGCCTAGCTGCAATGCAGCCGACGTAGTCTGCACCTAGGTGCCGGAGCCTGTCCCGCTGCTATGGAACCTTGCTCCGAATCTGAGCCAGAGTTGCTTCTCTGCGACCAAGACGAGGTTGATTGGTGCCTCTGTCCCGATCGGTACCAGTTGCCCCCCTGGAGTTGGATCTGGCTGACCTTGCCGAGTGCCCTTTTTAGGGCCTCAGTGACCAACAGCGCTTGGCAGATCCGCGATGGCCCTGGGCCAGCAATCTATGCCTCACGTTTAATGAGCGGTACTGGAACGTGGAGCAGGATCGGAAACTAGAGTGGGCTTGGCATCATGAAGAAGTAGCTGCAGGTGGAGACGCCACCCTGGGGGACTGGCACTGTCGGCCCCTCGACCTGTCCCTGGAGCAGCACTGGTGCCACGGAGATTCCGGGCACCGAGGCCAAAACTCCTGCTGGGCGGTGCATGCCTCCAAAGGTCTGCGCCCAGTCACCATGAGCTGCGCCTCGAGCCTCTCTGCCCTTATCTGAGGTCCAGAGACTGGAATGGGCTGCAAAACTTCTGCCTATCACGGTCAGAAGTGTGTTGGCTGCGAGAGGGGGACCGTAGGTGGAACATCCCCCGCAACAGAGAGCGGTGCCAGAAAGGTGGAGACTGTGGTGGTCCCAATGCCGGCTTACCCTGGCACCGGGAACGACATAATGTCTTGCGCCGCTTTGAGGGCCTCTGGTGTGGATGGCACCCGGAGCTGACGAGGACCTCCACCGCTATCCAGCGGGGAGCAGGCTGGGCTACACCGCTCGACCTGAGCTGTGGCCCAGAATCCCCAAGGGTGTGAAGAGGCACCAGAGACAGGGCCTTGGTCCACCCCAGACTCGTCCTTTCCCTTGAGGGAAGCTGGAGACCTTCCTTGCCCCATCATCCTGGGCTTCTTGGCTGGAGCCAAGGAAGGAGACCAGTGCCAGGTCGTAGACGGTACCAGCGAGACGCTGTGCACCAAGGTCATAGTGCTCGGTGCTGAATCAGAGCGCTGCTCCAGCATCGGGGTAAGGGCAGACTCCATCAGAAGCGCCTTCAAATGAATGTCATGCTCCTTCTTTGTCCTGGGCTTGAAGGACTTGCAGATTTTGCACTTATCACTAATGTGACCTTCACCCAAGCACTATAAACAAAGTCCCTTTAGGGACCTACTAAATCTCTAACTTAACAAATAGGTTGAACTAAACTAGAGGGAAACTATACCCAGTAATATCTGCAAGAGGCAAATGAGTTCAAACGAATGAAAAGCAACAGTTCTAGTTGAAGTAGCATGAGTTCCATGCACCGTCACTGGTGGCAAGAAGGAACAGAGTGGAGGGGACTGGTGGTGCCCTATACGCCGCAGCATACGCGCACCACTCCAGGGGGCGCCAGAGCCGGTCCCCTATGTATACTGCTGAGGGAAAAACTTCCGGCACTGGTATATGTGGTGAGCACATACACCTAAACTGAATGGACATGAGCAATCACTCGAAGAAGAATAAGCCATATTTATTTCTCATTTTTGCACGATCATGACTTTTTATGATTTTTTTTGGTTTGGTCATACATACTATTGATAGACATACATTTATACTATGTATACCTGTGTGTATGTTTTCTACATACTGTATATACACACACCGTCTCAGACATACACACCGGATTCTGTTTAATTAAATCAACAGAATAAAAGAAATAGGACTGAAAAATAGCTAAACAACTTCCTTGCTTACCGTTCTACGCACTCCTTTACTACAGCAAAATTGCCATCACCAATCACCTTTCCCACTCTGTATTTCTCAAGAATAGTGGATGACCCTGAGCACTTGTTTCCATTCACACCTGCACAAAAAGCAAGGACAATAATGTAAGGTGGAGAGAGACATCAGCAATATGGCATATCCCCACAGAGTTCAAGAGTATAGTGTAGATATTCCTAGATACAAAATAGGAATGTAAAAATAAACTATGTTCAGTACAATTTGTCCCTTTGTTTTTATTTCAAAACAGCAACAAGAACTGGTAAAGCTTAATCAGAGCTGTGTGACCTTCTTGTCCTTGTTAACATATAGGGAAAACATTAATATATTATTAATCTATGTTGACAAATCCCAAATGTGACAGAAATTCTAGTTAAATATTTAACTCCAGCTATGTCTTGACACATTTAGCTTTTTATTAAGAGGGCCTTCTTTTTAAAATTTATTTTTCATTGGCGTTTTCCTTGAGCACAAAAAAAGGAAAAAAGGAATGGAATTACAAATTCACGAAAAACAGTAAAAATTTGGTAATGAAAAAAGACAGTTATTTATGCATTTAACTAATGAGGAAAATTTCAGATCACTAATGAAACATATTTTATGTTGTTTGAGGCCCTTCTTATAGCATAAAAATGTAACAACTCTTGACTCCTTGCTTAGCACAGACTGCAGCTATCATACAAGTCTCTTGGCTAAACCACCTATGCAACACTTTCTCTAAGGTGCAACAACATATCCAACCAAATATTGAAGACTGCAATTACACTTTGCTTGTGTATTACAATTAAACCAAAAACATTCAAGAAACATTACATTTTACTGACAATATTGCCTATGGATCTCATCGTCTTTGATTTGTTTCATTAAAGAGCTAGTCAGGTCCCATTCGTCTAGAAAATTTGGCACTGAACTTCTATGTACCAAATTTCTTGTCATAGTGCCAAACTACAGATAAATTTTATAACTGCTATCGTTACGTTTTTTTTATAACATTGTGTCTTTCCTTAAAACCAGTTAATTCTATAGTATCATAGTGTCATCCCATTTTAAAGACTTAATCGCTTTATTAAAGGGAGACAAGAACTAGTTTTAGATCATAGCAACACTTCTATCTACACTGGAAATAGACGTCAAGTAAAGTAGGGACAAAAAAGATCATGGCCTTAAAACCTGTTCTTTATTAAGTTTCTTGTCTTGCTCTCCCACCCTGACCACCCTGATTACCACCACTCTTTCACACACATTAAGAGACATCAATTTGCAAGTATTTTTGTAGGAACAAGATCACGAATGCTTTACTAGCCTCCCTATTCTCAACAGATTGTTTATTTTGTAATGAAAAACAAAAAGATTAACAAAGTTCCCACAATGGTCACAGAGATTTATCCATAAGATGATCTCCTACAGAACTGAAAAGGTAAGTTTAGAATAGGAGGCCTGGCTGGTCTGATGGCTCCACTTGCAGCAAAATGGCTACCATGAGGAAGACAACAGTTCCAGTCCAACTGCAAACATCTTACTTTTGCGGGGTCACCATAGACACAATGTTCATAATTTCCACGAATGGGCTGACTGTATCACTCTAAAGTGCCCAATTGGGATTTGACTGAAGAGCAGGGTTTTTTTTTATTCATTTTGCATCCTACAGCTTTCTCCAGAATGACTTGGTGAAGCTGCAGCTGGGGATAATGTTGCTTGGGAGCAAGGAGATGATTATAAATATGGACTAGTATAATGCTATAAAGATGGACTGGGTGAAAAACCTTGAATGCTGGCAGGCTGAATACCTCAGGTCAGATCTTTAGAAACAAAGAAATCTTCTTGTAATGGAGGCCTCAGTCCTGAAGCCAATACATAAAGAAAAATTTTAGACCAGAGCTGCCGCTTGTAACATATTAAATCAAGTTATAAGAGGAGTGTATTAATGAAGATATTGCTATGGCATGCATGTGATGAGTTGTTGAGGTTAAGCATTCAGGATGAAACTCTCTCTGCATCCAGGCAGTCGTTAATGGGATTGTGTGGATTAAGCATGTTCTGGACAGTGAAACATTTTCCGAAATTCCTGTGTGTTGGTTGCATAACAACAGCATAAAAGAAAGGTAAATGGCCAGGCCATATTGCAAGACCATGTGACCTAGCATTGGGTTAGAGGGTTTCCCAGGTGTAAATTCCAGGGAGCTGAGCCAATGTTTTCAGCAGTGAGATTCCAGGGGAACTCAGAAGAGAAAGAGGCTCAAGACAGCTGCCTCTTTGTAAGAGGACAGTGGTGGCTTCAGCTCACGGTTCTGAAAGAGGGATTTATGCATTTTGTGACATTTTGTTAAAGGAAACAAGGTGTAGGTACATTCTGTGATAATAGCCTGACATTGATTTGTCTTCCAATGGGAAACTGACCTGTAAGGTCTAAAAATCTGCTACCATTTGGTAAAAGGGAAATATTATTTAGAATCTAATTCATCTCTCTCACAGTACAGACTTGATATAGCAAGTGCAGTAACAGTTTATCCAACATTAAGTACTTAGTAAGGTATGTCAAGGATCTAAGATTAAAATCTGATGGATTGCTAGCAGTTGTCTAGTATCACTGAGCTAACAAAGTCACTTAAAGGTGAACAAAGATTTTGTGAAGGTTAGTAGCAAACAGTGGTTTAAGTGCTTACCTTCAGGACTTATGCAATGGAATAGTTCAGGCACACCATTCACATTGGAAGAAGAGCCAAAGTGTGGAGGAATCTATGGAAATATGCATAAATCCATTATTTCTGATAATAACATTACTAAAATGAATAATAAGAAAATGAGTTATCTTTCCCCAATTTAATTTGTATACATATTAATTTTTTATACTTATTCAACATTGTTACCTTGCACTAGGGCTGTCCATAATGACTGGGATCCCAGTCCTGAGGCCCTGTTTATGAGAGGAGTCACACCACTGATTTCACTGGGATTTATCACAGCAAATGTCATTCTCTCTACTTTCTTGAAGTGATACTTGGGCTTTATGGGGTCAGTGTGGGGAAAGTAAATTCCATCCTCCCCCAAACCAAGGGACCAGTAAGGACTACAAAAAAATTTACATCTAAGCCATATTCAAAACCTGTAGTAGCCAAGAGTCATTACTACACACAGTTCAGAGGCCAATACACGACGAGTCAGTGGTCTCAGTCCATAACCTAAAATCCACCATCACAACTGGTACTGTTTGTAGTTTCATTAATAGAACTTCCCTCTCACCCTGATTCATAGTCTCTTTAGATTAGCACTGTGGCATGCTGGGAGGGTGGTGTAGGGAGGCTTGCATTGCCACCACTAATTTCTATGTCTAAAAGGAGAACTTCAATATCTAGGGCTAGCAGTCTGGCACCTCTACAAGCACTAAAATTAGCTTTAAATTTAGTGTGGGCAAGGCCGTCCCTACCCATACACAAAGTACGCAGCTGCATAGGGCACCAGAAAATTTGGGGCACCAAATTTCCTGGTGCCCTGCACAGCTACGTGCTGCTCCAGCCCCTGCCTCACCTCTTCCCACCCCTGCTCCGCCCCAGCCCTGCTGCTTCCCCAAAGCCCCCAGCCCTGCCCCCACTCCCCTGAGGACTGCAGCAAGGCTGGGTCTGCACTCACCAGCGGCGGGAAGTGCAGCAACCCGGCCCCAGCCATGCCGCCAGTGAGTGCAGGGGGGTGGTTCCTCCCTGCCCCCCAAGCCAGCCTGCCCTCCCCCCATGGGGCGGAGGGGGCTGCGTAGGGCCCCAGAATAGCTAGGGTCAGCCCTAAGTGGGGTTTTTTTTTAATACTGTTACTGAAGTGAATGCTTAGAACTAAGAGAAACTGAAGTCAAATAACTGTTCTACATCACAGCTGTATACAATGCAGATTTTAATAACTATTATATAGAAAAATAAAGAGAGTAAACATTTTTTAAGGAGAAATTCAGACAAGATGACATTTCCCACAGTAATTCCATTTTACAGGTACTACATGTTAACAGGATCTTCACAACTAATTAAGAAAAGTGCTTTCCTCACATCACACACAGTGATATATAAAGCAATGCAGTGTTATTGTAAAAGGAGGCAGGGACTTGTGCAATTGAAAGCAATCAAACAGTGAAATGATTTATGTACCAGTATGTTAAGTTTTACAAGGCTTCCCATTTCAGTTCAAAACATATGGGTGCTCTATTAAATTAATAGGTATTTAAAAGCACCTTCCTTCCTCCTTTACAAGACACTTCTACCTGTTCCCTGTGGCCCTTTTCCTTGCTTATTTCATGGGTTAATACAGTTCTCACCATTCACCACAAAAGGATTAAAATGCTTCTCTCCCTTAAGCTCAATATCTGCTGAAACAAGGCTTTGCACAACACCCGGGAATGCAAGTGCAGCATTTTCAATTTCAGCTAACATTGTCTCGTTACATTGCTGAATATTTTAAGTCATTAACACTACTGTCAGTGAAGTAACTGAACTGGCAGAAAGATATTGTTAAAGTCTCACATAATGCTAATGAGTGCTCAAGTTTCCAGTGGCATCTAAAGTGACAAAACAGCTAAAGGTACAGTAACTAGATATGGTGCAACTTAATTTTATGAAGCTGCAGAAACAATGCTGCTTATCAGATAGTGTCAGCAGCAACTGGATAGTTACCACTTCCTATTGACAACTTTTAAACAGCAGAAGTTAATTCATAGCGAAAGCAGCATTATCTAGTTGCTATAAAGGAGTTAGGAACTGAATCCAAGTGTCCTGTTTATGACATTAACAGAAGATTGTAATTCAGTCAGTGACTTAACGACTCAGTGCCACGGCTTCTCCAAACGTAAAACGGGGATAATAATGTTGATCCACCTTTGTACAACTGCAAAGTCTGAGTCATCAGCAAAAATATCTACTCTCTCTTTTGGTTATGATTTTAAAATGTCATTGAATAAGTGATAATAGGTGAAGATAGTGCATCATCCAATCCACATTTCTAGACAGCTTCATCCTTGTGAGAGGCAGGATAGTGAAATGTACTAGAATCTTACTCTCTAGTGAGCTGGGATAGAAAGATGTAGGCAAGAATAGCGGAAAGGCAAGAGGAAGGATGGTGGTGTGTGTGATTAAGGCACTAGACTAGGACTCAGGGTGTTAGCCCCAGCTCTGCCGCACTTAATGCATGACTTTGGGCAAGTCATAACCTCTTTAGGCCTAATCCAACACCCACTGAAATCAATGGGAGTTAATGGGCTATGGATCAGATCCTCTGTGCCTTAATTCCTCAGCAGTAAAATTGGGGTAATAATCCTTGCAGTGTTCTGGTGAGGTAGGGAAATAATTCCTCAATGCCTGTGAGGGGGTCAGACACTAAACTGATGAGGAAGGAAAGGGACATATAAGCACTACACTATGTCCTGAGAATCCCCCCCTGTGGGCTTTGTATAGCCCAGTAGACCTACGGATAGGAGTGTTTGTAATGCTCCCACAGTGCTTTATGCTCCTCCAAGCTGCAGGAGCAGATGATGAGCTGTAACTCTTCAAATAACTGTACAAAAACTCTGGATTAATATACACAGGATTCCCCTCCACCTCCATTCTCCAGCCTGGAAAGGTAGATAAATATTCATATTTATCAAAAGTTAGGGGACAGATCATAATCTGGTATAAACTAACAAAGCTGCATGAAAGTCAATGGAGCTTCAACAACTGACACCAACTGAGGGTCTCTCTCAAAATGCTTATCCAAGCTCTCTGTATTTATGGTAGGCTTCATGATGCACATGGCGCTCCCTCCCCATAAAATCTTTCTGCCTCAATCATAGGCACCGACTCCGTGGGTGCTCTGGGGCTGGAGCACCCATGGAAAAAAAAATAGTGGATGCTCAGCGCCCATCAGCAGCCCTGTGGATCAGTTCCTTCCCCTTCCTCCTAATATCTCCCACCCGGTGACCCCCACCAATCAGCTCCTTCCCCTCCCTCCCAGTGCCTCCCACCCGCCGTGATCAGCTGTTCAGCGGTGTGCAGGAGGCACTGGGGGTATGGGAAGGAGCAGAGGGGAGCAGTAAGAGGCAGGGGAGGGTCAGAACAGGGTGGGAAAGAGGTGGGACGGGGGCAGGAAGAGGCTGGACAGGGGTGAGGGCTTCGGGGAAAGGATGGAGTGGGGGCAGGGCATGGGGCAGAGCAGGGGTTGGGCCTGGGGCTCCTGCCTGCTCACCGTTATGGGATTAGGGTGACCAGATGTCCCGGTTTTATAGGGACAGTCCCGATTTTTGGGTCTTTTTCTTATATAGGCGCCTATTACCCCCCACCCCCGTCCCGATTTTTCACATTTGCTGTCCGGTCACCCTATATGGGATCTTTCAGTGACACATCCCCTCCTTTATACCATAGTATGCCATAGTCTATGTGCATATACTTACAAAGCAGAACAACTACATTTATGTTTTAGGATGACCAGCATTTGCAATATCCCTTGAATTTCTTTTTATCCAACAAAATGATAGAACAGCGGGCAGTCTTGTTAAAGAGATTATTTTCTAAAAACTGCCAAAGATTAGAAAGTTATTTTTCTATTCTGTGAAGAGCTAAGGGACAATTCCAGCAGCCAGGTACCCCAATTAAGTTGGCAGGCACAGCTCCATAAGCACTCCCTGCACCACAATGCACATGGAAATTTTGGAGGTGAAATGTGGGAGGAGTCAGGGCACTGGACTTGCAAACAGACTCACCAGTCTACCAGCCATTCCCTATGTAATAAAGGAAAAAACAGGCACAGAAACTCAAACTATATTAGTTAATACAGTGAATATACTATCATTTTGCAGTCTGGAAATGGGAAGGAATCTTCATCTACTCCCAGCCCACACAAACTCCGCACTTCCTGTTCCTTACACAGCACAATCACATGGACCATGCTCTGAGGAGAAGGATTTAGCCCAGAGGACTCTATTCTGCTCTCCAATTTCTGCAACAACTGTCAAAGAATTCATACTGAAAGGCAGAATTTGGCCCTACTTTCTAGGGTGACCATGCAGTAGTTTAATCTTGTGCTGCTAACTAAAAGAGTAGAAATATCTTGTCTCTTAAAAATTGTGAATACATCCATCACTTTAGAATCTAGGCTCCATTCCTGTATCTAGCGATGACTTCTGCTATTAGTTAAAAGTACCGTACATTAGTGTGATGCTGTATGATTGAGATATGACCATTTATATAATTGATATTGCCATTTAAACAATTGCAACACATTTTGTGCAAACTATATCCTGTAAGGTGTCAATGGCAAAGTTAGGATATCCTAAATATGATTATCCTGTTTATATGCATGAATCATTTTTCTATCTTAAGTTATAAATATTGGCTATACGCTGGCTAGGGTTGCCAACGTTCTACTTGCACAAAACCGAACAGCCTTGCCCCACACCCTTCTCCGCCCCTCCTCCGAGGCCCCGCCCATGTCCTGCCCCTTCTCACTCCATTCCCTCCCTCTGTCGCTTGCTCTCCCCACTTTCACTCACTCACTCATTTTCACCAGGCTGGCTCAGGGGAGGGGGTGAGGGCTCCAGGGTGGGGCCAGAAATGAGGAGTTCAGAGTGCAGGAGGGTGCTCCAGGCTGAGGCAGTGGGTTGGCATGCGAGAGGGGGTGAGGACTCCGGCTGGGGGGTAAGAGCTCTGGCGTGGGGCGAGGGATGAAGGGGTTGGGGTGCAGGAGGGGCTCCGGGCTGGGGGTGAGTGGAGCCAAGGGGACTATGGCAG